AACCCTAAGCCCCATATGAGCTATAGTCTCAACTCCTTAAGGGAGGTTATTTAGGGGATTAGACAGAAGACTATTACTGGGCTATCTGAGGGGATGCTCGTTGCTTATACCAGAAACGCGAAACCCCAAACCCTATACTGGGGCTATCAGGGGGATACTGGGAGTTTAGATTATGGCTCATATGTACCCGGCCCCTGCACCCTCATCCCTACAGCAGTTTCCATTTTCACCTACAGACCTCTTTGCAGTGGGCAGTAAACATTAATCCCTCGCGTCAAATGTGTAGGGTTTAGGGGATTTCCGGACGGAGGGGCCCCAATCACCCTATTCCCTAAACCCTGAACCTTAAACCCAAAGCTCTATGATCCGTATCCTTGGTACTCCTACAGAGCGGCCTCGAAGGGGCCCTCGGGTTTAGGGTTTAGGGTCCCCTAATTTTTGGAAGCCCTAAAGCCCTGATCCCTACACCCTAAATCCTATGCAACCCATACATAAACGCCATGCTTCCCCTGAACGGCTCTTGTTTTTGGAAACACCCATATCATCTCCTAGAACCTTGTGAAATTACCCAAGCCCCGCTAAACTAAACTGAACACCCTGAACCCTTAGCCCTACATGAGCCAAAGCCGCAGATCCCCTTTAAAAGTGCCCTCATACCTGGGCCCTAAACCCTGAACCGCGAACCCTAAACCCCTAAACCCCAAATCCCAAACCCTAACCCCCAAACCCCAAACCTCTAACCCCTTAACGCTACAACCTCCAAGCTCCAAACCCTATAACCCTAAACCTATAGTAGTTTTCATTTGTCCATTTTCCCTATATCACCCCTAGATAACCTTCCGATTGCCCTAAACCAACCCCGAACCTCCTGAACTCTGCACCCCCAACCCCCAACCCCCAAACCCAAAGCACTGTTGCGCCAGTGCCGCACCTGCGAACTTCGCAAGCCCACGGGTCTGCAAGCTTTGTCAGGCAGGGACCTTTGGGGGTTTTAGGGTTTGGGGTTTAGGAATGGGGGTTTAGGGTTGAGGAATTCGAGTTTAGGAGTTAATTGGGGTATTTCGGGTTTAGGCTTAGGGGCTTAGGGTTTAGGAATTTGGGTTTAGGGCTTAGGGTTCAGGAATTAGGGTACTCAGGGTTTAGGTTTAGGGGTTTAGGGTTTAGGAATTAGGGTGTGGGGCTTAGGGTTTAGGGTTTAGGGCTTAGGGTTTAGGATTTGGGGTTTAGGGTTTAGGGATACTCTTACTGACTTTTCAGGGCTTAGAATAGAGTCTTGAAAGGGATCGCAGGGATAATGAGGTCGAATTTGGAAATAGAGGGTCAGAGTTCCTTGGCTCAGGGTCCGGATCCCAGGGCGCACGCATACATACACACACACGAGCCACAGTCTAAACTCCTTAAAGGGGGCTTGTATAGGGTATTCTATAGGGGAGTATCTTAGGAGTGATTAAGGGGGATACTAGGAGTAAACTCCTTAAAGGGGGTTGATATAGGGCATTTTATCGGGGAAAAATTTAGGAGTGATTAAGGGGGATACTAGGAGTTTACACAACAGTTCATATGGTTTTGGGTTCAGCGCAGCGTTGACTGCCTCCCTCATTGCTTGAAGGGCATTTGTTTTCTCTTTCTGGGTTATTCGCAGGATTGCAGGAGGAGGAAGCAGAATCAGATAGCTTTGCACTAGGGAGTCATTTTGGTTGCGGTAAAACTTGCAGGGGTTTCAAGTGTTGGGTGCGGTAAGACTTGCAGGGGTTTCAAGTGATAAGCCTTAAAAACTTTCGTATTAGCAGCAGCATCGTCCTACTCTAGACACCTGATAAGTACCAACCTTATTTGCTCAGGATCAATAGCTACCTACAAGGTAACTACAGGAACCCTAAACATTTAACCCATAAAACGCCCCCGATGCCTTCCCTTTATTGCGACAGCTATCTTAGTGCAGCCCCTTTCTCCCTCCATGTTTCTTGCGGGATTGTAGATCATCAGCATAAGCCTAGTGTAGACTTCCCAAAGAAGGATTTCGCGTTTCTTTTGGGGTGCCTTTGTCCTCATTCGAGTCTTCTGGAAGGTTACTTTCCTTGAGCTAGTTCTTTGGTTGAAGCTTTAGTTGGGTGGTTGTCAAAATTAATTTCCCTTTTTGGATCCCTTTTATAATACGGCACCTAATATGTAGGGTACCCAAAAGGGACCATGATTTTTGCATCTCTGGGAGGAAGCCGCGTAGCTATACCTTCGGGCATCTGGACTTTCCGGCAAAAGTGCACAGACCCCGCCACTTGAAAGCCTAACGAGCCCTACTTGGGATGTCGGGGAGGATTTAGTAAGTAGGATCAAGTAGGTTATTGATAGGGATAGCTGGGGTTACTACATGTTTGTAGGGTGATAGTTATACTTACTTCCCCTGACCCTCCAAGCAATGACCCCTAGTTGCAAGAACCGTGCGTCAGTCTGATACGCCGCTTCAGTCTCATGGTAAATGCGCTTCACATCCTTGAGTCTGTCCCTGACGTCAACTAGAAGTCCCAGTGGACACCCTTGTCGTAATATGGTTGGATTACCACGTCAAGTAGATAGAGCACAAACGACATTCGCATTGGTTCCTAGGGCGGTGCATCTCAGGCACAATTATCTAACTTGCGCGCAAGTCACGGCGGAATAGCTTGCCACTTGCAACAGCATCAACTCGTGAGCTGATGAAAAGAAGAAGCAGCGTCCTTGCTGCTGTCCAGCAGAATGGGTTACAACTGGCAAATGCTCCAAAGAATCACCAAGCTGATAAGGAACTAGTGATGCTGGCAGTGAGCCAGCAAGGGTACGCCCTTGAATTTGCAGCCAAAAGGCTGAAAAGTGACAAGGACGTCGTGCTCGCAGCCGTGCGTCAACGGAGTGCCTCCCTTAAATTTGCAGCGAAGGACATGGGCGCTGATAGAGAGGTGGTGGCTGCGGCAGTGTCCGGGGCGGTCTCATTTTTTGAAGCACAGCCACTTGCTTATGCTTCTGAAGAGCTGAAGAATGACAAGGAACTTGTTCTTGTTGCAGTGCGAGCAAGTGGGCGTGCTCTTGCACATGCATCAGCCCATCTCAAAGCTGACTGGGATGTTGTGAAAGCAGCAGTGGAGCAGGATGGTTACGCACTGCAGCATGCATCTTGTGACATGAAGGCAGATAAGAATCTGGTCCTGGCCGCTGTCGCAAAGAAGGGCGACGCCATCAACTACGCATCTGATGCACTACAACGTGACAAAGACGTTATCCTCACCGCTGTGAAGCAATCGGAGTCCGCCCTTAGAAATGAGACAGTGGCTCTGTGTGCCGACAAGGAGGTGATCTTGGCAGCCATAAACTTGCATGGTTCAGGGCTTGAACATGCTTCTGCAGAATTGCAAGCAGACAAGGAGGTGGTTTTGGCAGCTGTGAGAAGAGATGGTTGGGAGTTACGGTTTGCGGCAAAGGAGCTGAGGGCTGACAAGGAAGTCGCGCTAGCTGCTGTGAGGCAAAGGGGCTTGGCGTTAGCTGATTGTGCCAAGGAGCTACAGTATGACAGGGAAGTGGTGTTAGCAGCTGTGGCGCAGAATGGCTGGGAGTTGAATTATGTGCCTGTCAAAATGAGAGACAAAGAGGTTGTGTTGACCGCGATGGCTTCACGTGGCGACGCCCTTGAAATGGCTCCTGAAGCATTGCGGGGGGACCGTGAGGTGGTGTTGACAGCTGTCAGGCAGAACGGTGGTGCCCTTGAGCATGCGTCAATGGAACTGCGGTCTTGCAAGGATGTGGTCTTGGCCGCAGTGATGCGAGATGGCGAAGCCTTGGAACATGCAGCTGCCGAGCTTCAAGCAGACAAGGACGTAGCTCTTGAAGCTGGAAGACAGACTGGGCTTGCCCTCAATCATGCCTCGCAGCAATTCTTTGTAGATGCAGCTTTGTGGCAAGAGGTCCGGCCACTGGTTCAGGATCACTGGGTCTTCAGGGTGTCAACGTTGAGTGGATCGTCATGCTATGTGGTGGCCGCAGGCCGTCATTCAGTTTTCAATATCCTTCTCGATGTAAGCACAAAACTGGACATTTACTGGGGGACTGGTTGTTACGACTCACATGAAAAGTTCAAGCTCTTGAGGGGCTCAGCCGAACTCCAGCTGTACAATGCCACAGTGAGCTGGTGGGACCTACCAGAGAGTGAGAAGGGCACCATAATCGACCTGACACTTCTTGTTTTAATCTGAAAGGCAGTGCCTATCTTTACCAGTTCTGCAAGGGACGGCTCAAGACCAAGGGCCAGTTTTTTTTTTGTTTTCGGGCTTAATTTCGGAGCCTGAGCCGGTTGAAAAGGCACGGTTTATGGCTTTGGTTGTCCAAGCTAGATGTTCAATATTTTCTAGTTTACGGTTTAGGGTATAGGGTTTAGGGTTTAGGGTTTAGGGTTTAGGGCGCGGCCTTTATTTCATGAGGGACGGCTTAGTCGAGGTCGCGGCTTCTAGTATTACAAGCCTTGCTGCCGCCAGGGATTTCCCTAAATTCAATACAATATCTGTCCCTGTAGTCGGGTCATATAGGACGGGTCCCCACAGAGATTTCTCCGTTCTGGAGCTATAATTTAGGTCAAGTCCGTAATGCGTTAGGAAGAAGCTCGGGTCTCAGTCCCTAAACCCTAAACCCTAAAGCCTAAAGGTCGTGTTTTTGCAGCATTTTGCCGCATTGTGGCTCAACTTGAGCACCTTGGCGGCCTCAATTCAAAAATTCAACAATGCTTGCATCATATTGTTAATGGATGAAATCTTGCATCACCTATGGTCCAGAAATTACTGGAATTCCTAGTCAGTTAAGGGTACGCCCTTCAGACATGCGTTCAGCAAGCAATAGCGATGTTCATGCCAAGCCGCATCTCAGAGATTAAGCGGCGAAAACGGCACACGACACTTTCTAAAGCTTGAACCTCATGCCCTACCCTTCAACCCGAAACCCAAACGCAAACCCTAAACCCTAAAACCTAGAACCTAACCTAACGCCCTAAACTCCCACCCCCAAATCCCTGAACTCAAAACCCCAAGCTCGTGCAACCCCAAAGCCTGCCACGAACACTTCAACAGCTTGGCCTGGGGTTTAGGATTTTGGGGTTTAGGGTTTAGGGTTTGCTGTTTAGGGTTTAGGGTTTTGGGTTTAGGGTTTTGGGGTTTTGGGTTTGCTCCGTATATTGGAGGGAAGATTGTAAGTGGGGCAGTTCATTGGTTCACTATTTCGGAAAGGGATTCAACTCCTGAGCTTGGGGCTAATGGTTTAAGGTTTAGGGTTCATGGATTTCGGGCGGATTTTTAGGATGGTGCGTGTTTGGATTGAAGCTGTAGAGTTCAGGGAGAGTGCGTATGGAAGCTGTGAATCTCACCGTTCTTTTATCCTGGACGCGTACCTTAAACCCTAACACTAAAACCCGCCCCCCAAACCCTCAACCCTAAACCCTAAAAACCCCAAACAAAAAGCCGCAAAGCAGCCCAAGGCATCAAATAGTCTCCAGTGAGCTTCATCTTGGGATTGTCCTAAAGGTCCTTTCAAACCAGCGATCATTGGGGGGGGGATCCCAACCAAAAGGAGGGAACCTGTCGTGTGGCTGCTTTGGGGACCGGTATTTGCACAACTACCAGATATCTACAGTTACTCGGATAGAGGCCAATGGTTAGCGGCCAATCACAGCAACTTTTGATGAAGACCACCCGTTGTTGACTGGGGTGATTTCGTCAACCAAGCCACTGACGTCTCATGTTGTCAACTTTTAAGATTGATGTTGAGGATGGCTGTTTTTTCTGATGACAATGACCGACATCGATGCTCAAGCAGGGGTATCTGGCGCACTGTGGCTTCCGTGATTTCTCTGAATCAACTGGATCCTGCTCCTAGGGACTCGAAAGGACTTATGCGTCTGAGACATTCCAGTATTTGGCAGCGACAGCAAGGACACCCAGCTACTGGTTCTTGGTATGCATGGCTTGGGAGGAACCCCCACCCTGCAATAGTGGTATAACAGGAATCTAAGAGGACCTTAAGATAATCACAGTTATCTCTGATGCATGGCAGTTACCACAGGAAGTTTCCGCTCCCTAGGCCGAAAGCCCCTGAACTGGGTGATGGTTTCTCACGGGCGTGTTTCCCATGACTAACTTGGTAAAGTTACGTCCTGCGGCGAACTGTATGAAACATAGTCTGAAATCCAATATTCACCTTAATAGCCTCTACTGTAGAATATTTCCCTATACAATCCTCTATGTAAACCCCATTGAAGGACTTCAGACTATAGCTCAGATCGTGAAGTGTCTAGACTCGGAGCATCTTCGAGTCTTGTAATCGGGTTAGAAGTACCATTTCTGAGCATATAGTCCTTCTACAGTAGTTAGAATATGGCTTTGGGTATCTTCTAATAAGATCCCCATGTATCCCATATTCTATCTACTGAAGGGGTATTATATAGCTTTGAAGTAGCACGTCTCTCCAAGTAAGCCACCAAGCCATGAACATGTTTGATACAGTGGAATTGCATAGGCCGGCAATATGTTCAGAATAGTGGAGTCCTTATCATGGGGACCCCAAAAAGTACACTGCGATCTGTGAAAAACCACTGAATGAACCGTGGTCTACACTCCTAGTATCCCCCTTAATAACCCTTCAATACTCCCCTATAATACCCCTCATATAACACCCTGGATTTCAGACTTATAGCGCATAGTGTTTGCAGGCTTCCAGAGCCTGTCAAGACAATGAGATATTGTGACGCAAAAAAAAGCTTGCATGGTCTTAGAAATACTAAACCTTGGGAGTTCCAGTATTTTGCTGGGCAATTTAAAGCGACCTCACCTTAAATGCTGGTTTATATAGGGAATAGTCAATAGTACCAAAACGGATTTCAATTGGGAATTGTAATTATTCATTTTGGTATACAAAGGCCGTGCATGAATTTGAGTATCAGCTGTATGAGGACGCCACGGGATATTGTTCTTGATTTTGATTTTTCGGGGTCAGGTTTTAGGGCCGATCAAAGAGGCAGGGTAGCCACACCAGGGACACGAACCCTGACCTTAAACCCGAAATCTCAAACCCTCAACCAAACCCCGAACTTAATCCTTAAACCCTCAGCCTTAAGCCCTAAACTTCAATCCCTAAGCCGTGGCCCTGAACTCGTCAGGGTCGCTGGAAACCTCCGAGGGCCCATCATTGCAAGACGCGGCATGTCCTGCAATAAGTTGCACTTTTGGGCAATTCTTCAGGGGTTTAGGGTTTAGGGTTTAAGGGTTTAGGGTTTTGGGCAATTCTTCAGGGTTCGTTGCGGGTATCTACTTCCCTACACGGTTCAGGGTTTGGGGTACCCTAAACCCTAAGCCCTAAACGCAAAGCCCTAAACCCTAAGCCTCCCTAAGCTCAAGACCCCAAGCCTACGCCCTAAACCCTAATCCCTTCAGGGTTTAGGGTTTAGGGTTTACCCAAATCCCTTAAGGGTTTAGGGTTTAGGGTTCAAGGTTGCCAGCCAGCAGAGGCACTACTATACGGAGTAGTATAGGGTTCTACTGCCCTGCTCTGCCTTTAGCACCCCCAAACAATAGGAAATGTGGGCGTGGGTTTCAGGGCTTGGGGCTTAGGGTTTAGGGTGGAGGGTTTCAAGGGGGTTTGGGGTTGAATGGGTAACCTCCCGGAAAGAAAAATGGAGCCTCCATCAAGGCGCCGTGATGATTATTGTCCTCTTAAAAAGGGCATCTATTGGGGTTCTATGTCAGGTTGGGGGACGTTACTAGCTCGAAGACCTCGTGAAGAGATCCCAAAATCCAAGTGATCGCCATGCCGTTGAACTACGGGGAACCGTCGACATTTATTCTTATTTGCCAATTTACTTCTGCTGCTGCTGTATTGGCAAACCTTCCGCATTCTCTTACCATGAACCCCATATGAAAAACCGTGTAGACCTTCGGTCACGGCATCCATGTATGTTTTTGGCCTTTCCCTCAAGGCAAGCACCCCCTTCCCCCTGAATGATATAGTCATGGTGGAATATGCAGTTTGAGCCATAATCGTAGTCCAAGCGCCTTAAACGGGTTATATAGGGGAGTATATATGGGACTACTATTTATTGGGGTTATTACGGGGGATGCTAGGAGTTTAGACTATGGCCCATATGGACGGTATGGGTGTTTCTTAACATGGGAGGCATGGTTGTGTGGTATCACAGGCGGAAGGGGTGAAGGGGTTCAGAAGCAAGTCAAAACAACATCTGCTTCTCTACAAAGTTGTCTGCCGGTCGCCGCGCCGAGAACACGCAGTTTAGGGTTTAGAGTTTACAGTTTCGGGTTTAGGGTTTCGGAACCAATACCACCTGGCACTTAACCGGGGCTCTTGTAGAACAAAAATTACATTTTTATGGATACCTGGGCCCAATATCAATAAAAAAGATCCTTTTAAATGGTACTTCAACAAGAACCCAGTAACTATAGGGAAGGAAGGAATGGATCCCTCAAGTAGTCCTCATGGAATCTGTGAGAATAGTCCTAACATCACAACCCATTCTCCCATTCGCTAATGAGCACCGCGAATCATAAATCCGTAAACAGTTTCCATGCTCTTGTCGATTTAGCCGCCATGAAACAGAGAGTCATTTGATTTCAGCACTTCTTCCAGAGATGGCTTCCAGGTTGTGGGGTTCAGGGTTTAGGGCTTGGCGTGTGAGGTCAAGAGTTTCTTCGAGAGTTTCTGGGAGGCCCCTGTTTTAACAAGCAACCCTAAACCCTAAACCCTAAGGTCACAGATTAGAAGCTGAGATGTTATGCCAATGTTGTTGAGACTTGGAAGAAGACGACTTGCACAGCTGACCATGCATCGATTTCAGTGGGACATGTAGGAGTTTCTTGAAATGGTAGTTTCCCAAAATCGGGGGACCCCAAGATAGACCCCAAAATGCTATAGTCCTCATTATGGGGACCCCCAAAATGGTGGCCCTAATATTGGGAAACCCCCAAATGATTCTATTCTTCTTCCAAGCTTTCAACTTCTGGCTTTAGCAGTTTGAACTTGATTTATGTTGTTGGTCGGGAAGGGCTTTGTAAGTGTGAGTGTATTTACTTCGCCTTTATAACCCAAAAAACGACCTCTGTCCTCTCCATCACTACCCTCCTTACTAGACCCTCCTGCGGTCCTCTCCATCACTACCCTCCTTACTAGACCCTCCTGACCCTCTCACCATCACTAACCTAAT